AGAGGACCAGCAGAAAGCACAGGGTGATGGAGGGAGGAGAAGGGGGGGGGGGGGAAACACCCACTCTTTTACATCAGACTGACGCACGAGTGCTGACAGAGATCAGATAGAAAAGGCCACATCCTACTCCCCCTCCCCTCCCCCTGAGTCAACTGGAGCATTGGTTGTGCTGACGTGGCCGTGGAGCGCCAGCCTTCCAGAGGAAGCAGCCACGGGAAAAACATCAGTCCTCCTCCACAAAACGGCAGGCTGCCACTGAGCCAAGAATAGCCACAAACAAGCTGCCCGTTCTGGCAGTGTAAACAGAGGCTAGGCAACACTTTGGGAACACCATCATCTCCCGTCAACATCACATAACCCGTCCCTCCCTTCCTCCTTGGGCAGGCAGACAGGATCAACTGGTGCGACGTGTCTGAGTCGAGAGCAAGGCTGGAGGTTACCACGGGGAGATGGGGATAATTGGTCAGGTTGGGTGAAAAAGCCGAGGGAGAGACCCATCCAAGGCCAGACACATGTCCACACACATACGTACGCAGGTGCGCACGGGTGGTAGGGCCACTTTGAGCATCCACCTGTTTCCTATTGTCTTAAAATGGATAGAGATCATAACAAACAAACACAAGTGGGGCTTCACGCAGGTCTTCTAAGGCATACTGCAACCAGGGAACTTGGCAAACGTGGCTCTGAAATAACGGCAACAATCCAAGCAAACTGTCAGGTTTAATCGGATGTACAAATGAACCCTCAATTAGATAAGGAGAATGAAAAGAAGCAGAGATGACAAGCTAGACATAGGCTTGCTGCTATTAACAGACGGGTGTAAAAATCAAGTAAAGCACACAGCAAGAGACGGGAGGAAAGAGAGGTTTCATATGGGAGCTCTTAATAAGCTCCCATTGGCAACATGATGAACTGTGAGCCTATGAAGATGGAGCGGGCTTGATTATTAATTAGAGCTAATAAATTGTCACCATCCACAAATAAAGCGGAGAGAGAGAGGACAGGAAAGGGAAAGGCAAGCAGACAGAGGTTAATAATTACAGCGAAGCAAGTGAAAGAGGCTAAGTACTGAACTGTCAATACAACAAAAAAGTACTAATTGCAAAGCCCAACCCTGATTTTTTTTTGTGATGACACTGTGGCACATGGTTCTCCTTTTGCAACGCATGGCCCATTTTTCTCACAGCCAGAAGAGATCTTCATCAATTAAGGAAGTAGTAATTTGCAATAAGTGTAACGTTCTATTAGCAAATTACAAAGCCACGGATGTGTACGCTTGTCTTTGGAACGGCTACTTCTCCACAACATGCTGGTTAGCATCAACCACTGCCAATCCAGGCACACGGAGGAGGAGAGTGGGAAAAAAGAGGAAAAGGCCATTCTGTGTTGATCTGTGTGCAAACCAGAGCCCGAGGGAGGAAGCTGTATAGTAAACAACGGAACAATTTAAAAAGAAATAGCCCTTTTTTTTTTTTTAGGTGTTAGTAAACTGAAGTCTGATTCTATATTTTAAGCTATCCACATGGTTCCTGCAACCCCAACCGGCATGAATGACGTTTGCAGGAGGGGAGGGAATCAGTAACCTTCATGCTTGTGCTTATTACAGAACATCACACTGCTGCTGCTCTCAGCCAAAGCAAAGGAAAAGGGATTTTTAAGTACTTCATTATTTGGCTCTGTTCGGGATATGAAGATTCCACTCTAAAACCACTGTCTCCCCCTGAAAACGAGAGGCTAACCTCACAAATCCAGCTGAGTGCACGTGGAATTGCCTTTCTATGACCACCCCATCCCAGACTAAACTACCTAAAGGTTTTTTTTTCCATCTTCTATCATCCTCTTTACCCTTTCTCCCTCCCCCTCCTTGGTATCAACGCAGCAATAGGAGAATGAGTCACAAGCTCAGTCATTCTTAGAGCTACTCACTGCAGAAGCTGTGAATGAACCGCGCCTGTGTGTGCGTCCGCATGCACATGTTTGTGTACATGTACGAGGAGCTAGGTGGGGGATGTGGTGAATATAAAAAAAAATGTGCTAATGTGGCTAATGTGTCTGATGATTGCGGTCCAATTATGCGAACCATATGTGATGAGTTTTTGTTCAGGAGGTTGCTGGGGGTGAGGAAACATGCAACTTCCTCACAATTTTGCGCATGAGTTTTCATTTTAGGCCAACAGATACTGTCATGTCATTTTACATGCTGTGTCCACTGGAAGCACAATACCTGTTGCACCAGCCCCCCCACCACTGCAAGCTCAATGTTGCATGATGGTTTTGTGTCCTTGCCGCCCACTCGCCAACCACAATGTAAACTCAATGGAAGGCTTTAAATAGATAGACAGGTAGGAAATGAAGAAAGGGAAGAGGAGAGAGAGTGTCAAAGAACGGAATGAGAGGTAGGATGAATAAAGGAGAGATTTCTTTTTAAGCTGATGTTGATTTCTAGTGACGCTGCTGATATTTTGGCTGATTTTTACAATCTTAAACAATCTGACCATATAAGTAGAAATAAATTGGAAACAAAGTAAAGATTTCCTCTCTGGAGTCAGAGACAGAATCCAAGGCTTCTAAAAGGGGCCAGTATAGTCCATTAAAACTGTTTCTGAGGGACAGATCCTTCCAATATGGCTGGACAAAACATCACACAGCCTAATCGGACTCTAAATGTCTCAAGCAATCTTAAAAACTCAAACTTGCCTTGAACAGATAAATAATGGGAATGTGTAATGCAACAGGAAAGCTTCCTAAAAGTAAATTCCAGCAGAATGTCTCTCAAGCCTGTACTGTGTGTATTGACAGTATGGATACGCCTGCACCACGCAGTGTCAGATGTTCAACAGTGCACGTCCGGGCTGCTCAGTTTCAGGCACAGGGGACATGACAATCTCAAGTCCCTCTGATAGAAAATAGACCAAGCACATCTGCAGCACCATCAGGAATGAGATGAGGTGTCACAGTTATGGCATCGGAGATAAGGGACAAGTAGACAGATAGGCCGACTGACCAACCAGTAACAACAGAGAGAGAAAAGGCAGAGGATACTGGCGACAGGGCTACAAACTGAGCCAGGGGTACTCATGTACATACAAATGTGTGTGCACATACAGACACGCACACACACACACTCACTCACACTCTTTAGCCACCTGTCGAGATGCCAGAATGGCTGTCTTGGCTTTGGTGGGAGAAGGCGCATCTCTATCAGGCTCAATAAGCCCAGTGGAACTACAGTGCTTTCAGCCATCAACCAGAGACTGAATCATCCAAAGTGATGTGAATCAGCAGCAGGCTAAGTCAGATAAAGAAGTGGATCTAATCAACCCAATGGTCCTGATGCTGACTTGTCTCATCAGTCACCAAGCTTATCGTGTGGTCTATCACTTGGTGCCAGTGATGCAGCCTTCAGATCTACAGTGGCAGACGCTGAGAAAGGCCAACCCAGGGAACGCTGGGGGTCTGGGTTGAAGCTATGAGGGCATGTCCACTTGAAAACAGAATTCCCCTTATGGCAAGGAAGGATAGCGAGCAGGAAGATGCTAAATGGCCACACTAATAGCCTCCCTCGCTAAAGGCCCCTCCTCCAAGGCAGATATCAAAAAAGGCATCCTATAAATTGTATTTTGCAAGATTGTCTGTTCATATTAAGCAGGCTGTCATGCGCTAACACGTAGCAATTACGCACATCCAGCTGATAAAAATACATGATTGAATACACAAATTGGTGTGGGATGGAGCAATTCCTGAAAAATATGTGTAAACCACATCATTCTGTCTGTAACTGTGTCACGCTGTCCCTGTCAGTACATACTAGGGTTAAAGGTGAACGCATGCATAGGCACAACAGATACTTAAGTGAACAGGGATAGTGTGTTGTTGCGAACACACAACAAACCAAACCAAACCAACCAACCAACCACATGCGCATACATGCTTGCACACACACACACACTCTTCTTCCTCCCTCCTTGCACCGCAAGCGGTGAGTCATCCCTCTATTCACGTCACCGAGAGATGAGTGCACCCTGTGACAGGCCAGTTAGTAGCAGTCACACTGATCTATGTGGCACCTCTCAGCTCTTTGTTTCTCCTCTGATGGAGAGACTATGTATGCTCGCTCCCTATTAGGAAGGTTTACTCAGCTCGTAATGGGGGGCCAGTGGGGGAGCTCAGTCAGACAGGAGTAGGGAGAAGAGCCCCTGCATGAGCAAACTGTATGATGGCTTCCTACCTTAGCAGCATCACTTTATGTCACTGCTTCTGCTCTTCTGTCATGTAAACCTGGATGCCCAAGGCCTACTGCACAGGCTATTGTCCCATTGTTATTTATATACCTCACAGTGCATAGTCAAAAACTATAGACAAGAAATGGCAGCGTGAGACAATAAGCACTGGTCTATACATGGCTCAGTGAATTTATGGTAAAATGTCGTGTGCCTGTGTGCTGTGGTCACAAAGGGTAGCAAACATTACTCACTCACAAACCTTTATCATGCTGCCATCCTTTAGTTTTATTTATTAAATCAAATGGAACATTTAAGAGAAAAAAAAAATGCCTGTTAGCTCACAGAAATGTCAATATGCGGAGGGATGTCCGTGGAACGAGCCCTAAACAAAGCAAATCATTTTCAGATCTATGTTTTCCTGGGCAACTATATTTTATCATAATCGTTTACAATTATGGCCCCACAACTCTACCTCCTACAACTACTCCAGCTGTCTTCCGTTCACAATGTCAGCGACGTGTTGGAGCCAGACTTTATTGTTGCTGTCACAAAGCCAACGCAATCACCAACAATTGAGGATAAAGGAAATGACTGCCATCAGGACAAATAAGAATGTGTAACACATCTTACTCAAACACCGCCTTTCTGCCCTAACTCCTCTACCAACACACTGTAATTATACCATATGCTTATTTTACATTAGGATATCTGTTGGTGCACAGTTCATTTTCTCATCTGTCAAATTAAACAGTAAGAGCAGCAAGCCAAATGGTGTTCAGATAGCAAAGCTGATGAGGGGGGAAAAAATGATGACACATTCTGTAGTACGGGAAGTATTGTAATAAAAACATCAATAACAATCAAAGTGGATGCATTTATGTGCACGCAACATCACAGTTACTAGATCTAAGAATGAAGGTGATGGTAAATTTTTTGAGGTCAGGCAGCATTTGGTGCGTCTGTTTTTAATCTGTTATCTTCTACGTGTACTGTATCTATTATGTTTCTGTTTAGTTACTATGCATATTAAGCATTTGTATGTACGTATATCAACGTGATCAAGTTTAACCAGCTCAGTGTCTCTTATAAAACATCTCATTTTGATAAAATATTGATGCATTTTCATAACGCATTCTTTCAAGCTGTACATTTCTCTATATTGGCTGGAACCGTAAAATGCAATTATGCCACTGAGCAGTCTGGGAGCTGTGAGACATGACTGTCATCCTGTTATCATTTCTGTGAAAATACATCAATGCATCCTGGCCAACACCCTCTGTTTTTCACTGAACACACTGAAGGAAGTTGAATGAATGAAGGTGAAGGTGATATATGAAAAAAGAATAAAGAAGTTCAGCAGAAATCTGGCTCTGTCAATCAGATTATTCTCACGCCTCTTACAATCTAACATTTGTTGAGGGGATCAGAATTAAGCACCTACATGGATTTTGCTGAACCTTTAGTAATCTCTATGATTAGATGACAATATTTGGGGTGTCAATATTGGACTTTAGAAAATCCTTGATTCATCATCATTTTCTACACGTACGGGCACAAATATACTGAGCTTTCATTTGAATGTTTTGCCTCTTACAGGTCAGTAAATTTCAGAAGACAAGAAAAAATACATATTGTCATGTATAATTTATGAATCAGCCAAACACAAACATACAGTGAAAACCTCCTCTTCTTTTGAAGAGACTGCGTTTGTGCTGGAAAAAGTGTAAATATCAAATATGTCTTTTTATGAGTGTGCATTTTTTACAGATGACCAAATTAATGATTCTAAACAAATCTGTAGTTAAGAAAAGAACAAATTGAGTTATATAAGTTTATGTTCTGCACCGTGTGGAGAGATATCTGATGTTATACATAACAAAAGAAAAATATATTGCATTAAACATCAGTTTGAATCTTTCCATGTGATTTTATTTTCTTAATTGCATATTATGGTGATATACGTCACTATTAGGAAAATGTTAATTATGAGATAACCACTTCAACTATATTGCCCAGCCCTATATATTTTCCAGATTTTCTGTAGTAATCAATTTAGACAAGTCTCTTAGCTTCCCATAGAGGTCAGGGTATAAGCAGAGTACTAAGCATTTTAAATGAGCCATACATTTCCTGGAGCTTTTCGGCAGACCGCAGCAAAAAAGGCATTTGTCTTGCGGTCACAATGTCCTGAAACTCGCACAGTTACAATATGTTGTCTGCGCTCACTGGAGCACTCTCTGCTGGAGCAGTAGCCCTTTGACCACTGAATACACTAGATCTCTTACAGCATTTTGCAGCAAGGTCTTCGGTCTTTATATTAAGGAAGAACTGCTAGAACTTTCTTTTATTCTTCTTGTTGCGTTTGGGATTTTTAATTTAGTTTGGAAAGAGTGTGCTCTCCAAATAGATTAATACATGTCATTATGTAAACTTTTTTGGATTTTTTCCAGACTAAAAGCACATCGAGTGCTGCAAGGGCGAAGGGTTTAATGAATGACCATGGATCCAATATTCTGAATTGAACAGAAAAATAATGTTATTTTCTACATTTTACACAAGTTTTGTTTTTCCTTCTATACTGAAAACATACCAAACCAAGATACATACATAATTTTGTGTACCTTTACAGCCTACTGAAAAGATATGCATGCAATAACAGAACAGCTTTCTTACCTGTGATACACTGAAACTGACCATCCTCTCGTCGAATAGTGAAGGCCTCACCTGGGTTTACCTGCACCAGGATTACCTGTGGAGAACAAAAGCCACATTTTATGTAAATGGACAACTTGTACAACACGTCAGCATGTATAAACTAAAGTTGCTCTGGAATTGTACAAATCTTTACAAAATGTCCCTTCAAATTACCATGCAAAGCACCCAGACCGTTGGGTGCTTTGCATGGTAATTTGATGAAGGTTTGTGTTACAATGATGATACTGGCAAATCGAAATCATAGTTGGGAAAAAAAATCGTACCCTAGTCTTACCATTTAGAGCATTTTCTGAGGGGGGGGGATGCCTAATAATGTAAGGCGACACTTGGCAGAGGTAGGTACCAAGCAACAGAAAACACCACCAAATAAGTAAATAAAACACAAAAGCTGTCTGCTGTGTTCCACAAAATATGTGCATTGAAAAAAACAAACAAAAAAGGTGGAAGGTCACGCGTTAATTAAATCACAATAATTGTTACGAAGACATCAAAACCAGGTATTCGCTACAAAATCAACAAACAGAATTAACTGAGAGGTAAGGCTGACAAACTGGGAGGTAAGACTTTCTCAGGTTGAACGCGAGTCCTCCAATTTGTCTGAGGGGATAGAACAATTTAAAACTCTAAAGAAACTTTCAACTGCCCTTTTTTATAAAGAGAAAGACACATTACCATCCCAATACCTGACATTGAGCCACCGTTATGTGTGTGTGGAAATGGTTAATTGAACATACAGCAACTCATGTTCTACATAAACGTTCACTGTCCATTTCTCACGGATATTATCCATAGAACTAGGATTGTTCTAGGTAAGCAGTACATTAATGATTACAAAAAAAATTATTCTTTAGATCGGAAATTGTGGTTGAGTGTCACGAGACCAATATATTTTAACCAGCGCTCAATTTTGTAATCAATGAAATAAACGGTCATGAATTGTAACGTTGTAACTTGTGTTTGATAATATTTTTGTTTATGTGTTTAAAGGGGTTAATACAAAGGAATATTTAACAAGGGATCATATCATTTTCCCAACTGTATGAAAGCCAGAAATAACCTGTAAATCAGGAACATTCAAGATTTACGTCACAGGTGAAAAAAAAACAAAAAAACAAAAAAACAAAAAAACAGGAAGCACTTGCCCTCTATCTCTAAAGTGATTGGGTCACCATATTTATAAATTTATAAATTGTCAAGGAAGCATTATTTGAACAGTTTCTCCCCCATACCTAGTGTTAATGTGGATAAAAATCACGTTTCCCTCTTGTAGAGTTATCAGGCTGTATAATCAATTTTTTAAAAGCTTCATCCATAAACAATTGTAAAACTGTTACTCATCTCATACCATTATGGAGTTGATTCATGGACTGTTTGAAATATCAGGTACACATGTTATGCCTACAGAGCCTGCTGTACTGGTCATCACTAAAGACTGAGTGACAGAAAGGAACAACAAAAGCCTCATATGACAAGGTGAATTTTGTCCAAGCAATCACCTTTAAAACGTTTCTCTTGGACAAATTCTCTATTTTGGTAATTGTTCTGCATTGCACGTTATTTTTCCATTCACTTAAATCAACAGTCAGTTTTGTTAGAGATCAAGATCACTGAAACTTCTCCCTCTAAATAATATCAAATTCATCACCTCTTAACTTCCAACAAAGACCACAGAACTAGGTTGTGTTGACCTGCAATGTGTTGGGCCGCTAGTTAACTCACTCTTGTGAAGTCGCTGTCATAAGAATCCTACACTCCCCTGGCAAGGGCTTTTGCTATGGTTCTCTTCGAGCCGACATCATCAGCACCCCATCTCTGACACTGCTCCATTCATGTGCTCAGCGGGGGAGAGGAAAGAGCCCTTTGACTGCACCACAGTAAGCTTCATAATGTTCATACACTCCACGACAGGCATGCGTCACAGCAAGTTTATGGTGGTGGGGGGGTGAGGGTGGGAGGCTGAGAGGGGGGTGCAGGGGCAAGGGAGGTCTAATTGAATCAAAGTCTAGGCACTTCACAGTCGGGTGAATGTGTATGTTTGTTGTCCACCCCCTTCTGTGCGAAGCAAACACCCCTCCTTGGACTCCCTTTTCTAATTTAATCTTAACGTTTGGGAGTTCAATTTGAAACCAATACTGAGACATTCACTGCATGTTCATGAAATCAAAAGGAAGGACATTTTTATCTGACTGCTACTTACTGTTGCCCGCATTGCTTTTTCTCATTCAGACGTCGCTATTCACGCAGTCACAGATGCTTCAGGGTCTACCAGACCCTCCACCACTTCACCCAACCCTCATGAGAAATCACATGACCTGCGATGCTAACACATCTGGCTGGGCTGATCCTTTACACCCTCCACTTCCATCAACTCCCGCACAAAATCCAGGAAGAAACTGGCGAGAGGCGAGGAGGAGCAGCGGGAGCTATGTAGGCGGATGGGGCTTAGTCTCTTGCGCTGTATGTAGCCTTCACAGAAAGCGTGGCGTGAATCTCATGTTTGCTTAGCCTGGTTCAGCCTCATCTGCTCCGTAGCGGCACTCTCTGCAGCAGGCAGCTTGCTCACTCTTGCCTCTGGCTCCAGTGCAGCCTCCCTACCGTCAGTATCCACAGCAACCCCTTCAACAAATAAACCACAGCGATGTCCGCGCCAAACCTTCAGAGAGGGGATTGAAACCTTATCAGCAGTGGCCACTCTCCGGAAAAGGAGGCGGATGAACCCGGGGAAAACAAGACCAAAAATACGAGAAGGACTGGATGATGCCTCAGTTTGCTATTCAGTTTCCTCCTTGCCTCTGTCACTGACTGTGTGCCAGCTCAGTTAACGCCTGCTGTGCTTCTTAATACGGTTAATTTCAATAGCATTCCATCAGGGTGTGATCATAGCACAGCGGAGCCGGCAAAGGTATAAGGGTTCCATAGCGTGGGGAGTCCTTTGTTCTGCCTTTTTTCACAACAACAAACAATGGCGTGAGGGAGCTGAGCGACCCACGCAGCTTCTGAGGCTGACATATACGACTACGCTACAGTCCCTCTCCCTCCCTCCCTTCTCTCCCTCCCCCTCATACTCTCTATGGCTCTCTCTCCCATTCACAGAGCGACATGCCATGCAACCTCTCCTAATACTCCGATCGATGTGAGAGGAGATGAGGTGGTGGGAGTTCAATTGCAGCGGTCCAGCGCTGGCGACAATTGCGCCCTCGAGTTCTCTACTGTCTTCAAAGATCACAAAGCAGCCCACTGATAGTCAAAACAGAGACAGTATTTGTACAATGACACAATAAACAGAGCTTGCGAGTATTCACTGCTTCTGTAACATCTGTCCTCATTCATTCTAAATGGATTACTTCTTAAAGCGACAGTGACACTGATCACTTGATCAGCATGTGCCAAGTTAAGAGACATTCTGCGTCACTGATACTGTTACGCAGGGGGAACACCTATGGCACGTCCTCGGCAAAATGAAATTTTACTCTGTGAAATAAAAAGGGCAGGATTAGATAAATAAAGCCGCTTGTAGCCACGATCAATGACCAAGTACAATAGGCTTATAAATTAAAATGACTTTAGGGAAATATGAAGCAAAAATCAATTTTGGACCAAATCACACAGTTATTGAGGATAGCGCCCCCTTTTGGCTGATTTAAGTATCTATATTTCTAAATACATGTTCCAACTTTATTTAACTTTCAGCGAAAAAGTCACCAGTTAGTTAAAATATTAGGGTGAAAGTCAGCAGTTAACAGGGTAACATGTTAAACCAAAACACTGACGAGCAGCACGACGCAAATGCCTCAAACTGGGAAAATTAGGGGTCCAGTCGGCATTTTCTACTAAAAAGACTGCTGGTGTTTTTCCACAGCGAGTGAGGCGTAAGCTACGCAACTTTCTCTCGTGTGCTACTGTAATCCTTGGCTGTAATTTGAGGATTAATGAGTAGCATTGCGTCTCTGCAACAGCGCCTCTGAACATGGCGTGATGATGTGACGTCATCAAGGTTGGGGCGGTGGCTTGCCACTCCAATTATTTCATTATTGTGGTTATCGCGATAGCTCTAACTACCAAAACTTGTCTTGGCCAAAAGGTTGTTAGCATTTTTTTTCTTTTAAAGTTACAACTGCATATTGTTGTGCTGTACTCTGTGACGGGATTAGTGTTTTTTGGTTTAGAATATGGACAGGTTACTGTGATATTTCCAGGCATTTTCCCTAATGTATGCTTAAACTGGTAATATTCTCTTCACTACAGTATTTAGCTTTGGATTTCATAAGATTGCCTCATACTATTACATCAGTGTCAGCCATTAAACAGAGGCAAAACCTCTAGTTTTCCAAGTCTCGAAGTAGCATCTACAACATATTCAGCCCAAAAAATGACACTGCAAAATAACAAAACAAAGGACATAGCAAAAGATGAATACATTTTTAGTCAAGTTATCTTCTGATAACTACACTTGCTTGAGGCAACTGCCAATCACAGCTATCCTTTACATCCCTTGAAGCTCAGCTCTAATGAAATAAGGAATTCTGAATTTACAGTGCTAATGTAAAATACATTCAAGCTCTGCTACAGAATGAATGTAGCAGATCACTTAATGTGTAGCTGCCATCACAAACCAACTGTGCGATGACTTCATTTGAAAGTGGATAGAAATAGTGCTAGGATACTGCAAAGGTTACTTTTCACACAGATGACTAAGCACTGTAATGTGCAATGGTTTCCTGCTCACATTCACAACAGGGAGGATCTTTTAAACAAAGCACTAGATGGAAGAACCCATGCATTAAGAGAACAGAAACAATGACACACATATTCATAGAACAATATGTCCAAAAGTTAAATAGTATATCTTGCTCCCACCATTGTAAAGATTTGCATCCATGTATGCAACCCTGTGCAAAGAGAGTGTGGATCAATTAGCACACGCTGTCACACAGGTGGCCACTGCTGTGTTTTATTACCCAGGAGAATGGGCCTGCTCTGTGTGTTCATGGCTGTTAGCTCTGACGTTTCTCAGCCGTCGGTGACTCAGAGTTCAGGTTTCTCACTATTTGTTCCTCTTAATTGTTTACTGTGCGTTGATGTGACATAGCAGCTGGGCGGACAGGAAACAGGAGCCAAATGACACAGGGAAAAGCCTGCCAGTGTCGGAACTAGCCAGGAACTAACGCAGTCTCCCTGAAGCTGATGGCATACGCTTACGTGTGCAATGATAATTCAAGGCAATTTGATGATCCTGCACCCTCCAGGTTTCCTTGGAAACGTTGCATGATGGGTAGGAGTTTAACGGTACACATTATTCACAGTATGAGATGTATCTCGGTTTTGGAGTCACGGTTTGGTATGTTTTCAGTGCAGCAGGGAAAAACTAAAACAATTAGAAAATTATATTTTCTCACATTTATCCTGAAAAATGTAAACATTTAATGGTAGCTCATTAGTTCTGTACAATTCTTACTCTAACAGTAAATGGAGAATAATAATAATAATAATAGCATATTGTTATCAAGAAGAATTAAAGTAATGCTCCATTGTAAGAGTCTGACCTGTTGATAAGTCATGAACTGCATATCTGGAATGATAAACACTATATAGCATCAGTTATTACATTGGCACAGTATTCGAGTGATACCATTGTAGATAACAAGTGTTCCCACAGTAAAAAACGACTTCAGTTGAACAATAGCTGCATAGTTTGACACTAATTGCTGCTGACATCAGTTTGTTTTTTTCCGCCAATATCTATTCAACCACTGACATGAACGTCTGTATAAGCACCTACACTACCTACATTAGTCTGATACACCTGTACTTTGTCACGTCTCCACAAAAACTTAATTCAGCTCATTTTAAATATGATTTATTATAGGGCCAATGCAGGACTGGAGTCATTCCGGTATTGATCTGGGTGTATGGTTAGGATCACTGCCCTGCTACACATCAAAACAGCACCAAAATAAATTAGAATGCTACTATGAAGAGCATTTTACTCATGATTTGGCCTGCATTTGGCTTTGGGCTTAGTTCCCTTCGATATCTACTATTAATAGAAATGTTAAAAAAAGTATCCCACAGCCTGATGCTGCCACCACCATCCTTCACAGTGGAGCTGGTGTTAGATAGGTGATAGGCTGTGGTAGTCCTGACACAGAGATCTCCACTACAGCTGAACTATTTATTTTTGTTCAATCAGACCACATTATCTTTTGGCTCATGCCCTCTGAAACTTCACATCAATTTCTCCCAATTCCAGGTATGCTGTCATGTGTTTTTTTTTCTCCCCAGGAGTACCTTCCATCTGGCTCCCCAACAGCAGAGCCCAGACTTGTGAAGTGCTGTACTGACTGTAGTCCTTCCAAAGGAATTTGTTATCATAGCTAAGGTACTTTGTACTTTTTTCAGAGTTTTCTTGGGTTCCAGGTCAGCTTCTTGGCAAATGTCCTAAGGTTGGTTATTGTCTGGTCAGGTCAAGTCCAGGTGGTTTCAGTTTTTGACCATTTTTAATAATGAAGCCTTTGGGCTCCTCCTAAATTTCTAACTCAGAAAATAAATTATTTTCCACAGACCTGGAGATGTTTTCTCCCAGGTTTCTATGACTATTACTTAAAATAGCATTTTAAACATTTTAAACTAACAAAACATTAGGTTTTGTGGTCAGTTCTTGGTCAACCAAATTCTCATTGCCTGGACAATCACTGGTGTTATTTCCATAAGGAGTAAAGTGTTTCTTAGTCCATTATTTTCAGGGGCAAGATGGACATATGCAGACCTGATGTATTATATTTGTGAGTGATAGGCTATATTGTGCTAGAAATACCATTGACTATAGATATAACGTTCAAATATATTTTACTAATGTGATTTTAATAATCATATGGCTTAACAGACTATAAGACAGGAAGTCAACCCCCCCCCCCCTTAACAACTTTAAACTCACCCGAACTAATTACTTCTAGGTCGAACTTACTGAACATTAACTCGGCTCCAAATGAATTAACACCATGTCAAAGACCCAGCACAAATCGCTGTATTGGCCCCCAGCCTCAGAGGACAGAAGAGCTGAGTGGATAAAGTCTGTCCGTGACCTAACTTCAAACCTGAAAGCTCTACGTTTTTGCCATGTTTTAGAGATTATTTGTAGGTTAACCCGTCAAACTTGGCGTTAGCATGTTGTCCGGCTAACATGGCTAGCATACTCCTACAGGCTAAGTAGGGCTCATTTTGTAATACTGAGGAACAGTCAAGAAAACTGTGTGAACGTTACGCCTCGTTTGAAGCCAGCTAAATAATGAGAGTAGCAGGTTTGATGCCGGTAACAGTTCGTGTTGCTTTTTCTGGAACTTTATACTGCGTTAGCTTTGCTGTTGCCAGAATATATGTGTGTGTTGCTCCTGTATGTAAATTGTTCGATAGACATGCCCCGAAGGTGAAATAGCTAGATCAGTACAGTATTTGTATTGACTGACGTACTTAATAAAATATTCAGTATCTGTGTCTGTTCTGAATATTGGTGCAGTAATAATCGTATGGTTTGTCTCACTGGCTTAGAAGAAAGTGTCCTAAATATTGCTGAGTCACGCGCTGTCCACCTCCTCTCGATAGCTGACAAATAGTGGGCTCACCCCCATCTTCACAGATGATTCAGTGGATGACCAAGAGACAAGGAGAGTGGGTTGCATTTTTGTCACAACATCTCAAGCCCTCTGGCAACTTGTGAGGGGCACATTTCCAAGGCCCTGTCTCCTGTGTCTGGCTATAGCATACAAGGCCAGCACCAAAGACGGCTGAGTTGGGAGTGAGGTCTCACTATCCCACAGTAACATT